CCATGCAATTCCTTTGCACTTTGCCTGTGCTGGCACAGTTATGCTTGTGTGGTAACTTCTTAATCTCCACTCATCAATAAAACAAGGAAACAAAGTGAAGAGTTAGTAACACTGAATCAATCATAACAGAATCAACATAACTCAATCAATAACTAAATCAATACCTGCCATGTCCTCCCATCTGCACACTGAGATGCATGAATCCTCCACCTACACCTCTTGGCCTTACAATGTGCTCTATACCGCTGTTGATGTTTGACCACCGATAGCCTGCCACGGGGGTCCCCGAGGCAGTATGTTCGGGCTTCAGCGTATGCGGAACTCGACGGTGAACGCAAGAGACAGTCGATTTATCCTGGTTCGGCCCTCGACCATGATCGAGTAATAGCCCTACGTCCAGTCGGCGTTCGCCTTGCGTTGGATTGATTGCGTGTTGTTGTGTCAGTCTCCTCTCTAGGAACCCTGCCCTTCTATATATAGTCAGGAGGTCAGAATCCTAGTCGGTTTATAATAAAAGTTCCTAGTAGGATTACACAATACTACTACTACTAAGATTACATGGGAAGAATCCTAGTTAGACTAGATCTTCTCTCTTCCTTGCGGGGTATCCTGTGGGTTCCGCACCAACAACCGCCGTGACTCACTATAAGGAATTGCAAGTTCAACTTCATTAAGCACATCATATTGCCTAATACACCTCTTAAAACATAAACCATCTTCAAAAGTAACACCAACAGCTATCTTAGGGTTATCTATGTCAGTCACATGCACCACACCCTCACAGCCCCTCTCATCATCCACACCTAGTGGGTCATCATCTTCTAGGTCAGTGTCAGGATAATAATCACTGCCCTCAGCATCATCAATGAGCATATCCTTGTACTTCTCTTTCTCATCATCTACTCCTACATACTCAACTTCATTAGACTCTCCCAGTCATCATCAACCTCAACATTATCATCACCTTCAGGATAATCATCAACCTCAACATTATCATCACCTCCAGGATAATCATCAACCTCAATATTATCATCACCTTCAGGATTATCATCAACCTCAGCAGTAGCATCAACCTCAGGATTGACATCAACCTCGGGATTGGCATCAACCTCAGGATTAGCATGAACCTCAGGATTATCATCAACGTTAGGATTATCATGAAACTTAGGATTATCATCACCTTCTAGATTATCAATAGCTTCTGGATTATCAACAACTTCAGCAGTATGAACAACTACTAGATTTTCATCAGGCAGAATCATAGCTAATGGCAAACAAATGACCTAACTCTGTTCTGTGCTAACAACAGACTGAGTATCACCAGATGCATTGGCATTACAAACTTGAGACTGTAATAAACGAGGACCAGTGTCAACAACCTCTACAATCGGTGGCACCCTTCTCATCGTCCCAATACACATCAAATGCATGTAGCAGAGCAGAATTAGAATCTATGCGCACTGTCTCATCCTTGGTTTTGTCAAAGAAAGTAACCTCCAGTGCTTGATCTTTACCATGAACTATGTCCTCAGCAAGGCAATCATAAAAACTCATCCAACTGAAGATATCATTGTCCACCACACGCATGAAGTTAACAGTTACATGATAATTATCGAGCCCATCTGGTCTTTGCTCTACATAGACAGGTACTCTAATTGCCAATCTACAGGCGGACGTCGGATCCATCCTAATTCAAAAAAAGACCACATCCAAACTAAACGATTTCAAACCGCAACATTTCTAACGCATCCGCAGACATACAAATCGAAAGAGTACGGGTTCAAGAAATCTCACCCTTTTGGAATCCATTTCAAATTGGGCACCCTAGGCGGACAACCACTGCACTGCGTGTTCTTCATATTGGGGGACTTCATCTTCGGGTCGCGGGGGTGCTGCAGATCCTCAGCCCCCAAGGTGGATGACGGCCGAGGCTGGAGGTGTCAGCGGCGGGCACCGGAGTGGACGGCGTCGCGGCGGGCACCGGAGTGGAGTGAACGACGTCGCGGCGGGTAACAGAGTGGAGTGGGTGGCCGCGGGAGTGGGATTGGGGAAAGTGACGACCGCTAAAACCCTAATAGGCGGGACGGGCCGGTTAACCAGACCAGGCTCGGGTCGGTTATTAGCTAGTCCAACCAGACCCAAACGTGGCTTAGGGGCACCGGATGTCCAGACTGAATTTTTCTCTCTCCTCAACCGGTGGAAATCGGCCCGCGGTGTCCTCTGGCATAATTATAAGAAACCAGAGTGTCTTCTAACATATAGCTCCACTTTGGGTATCCTCCAGCAAACGACCACCACTATGGGTGTCCGCCAACCAATTTCCCATTGTGATAATTGTATAATAGTTTTAGTATTAAATACACTGAACTATTTAAAGTAAAAAAAGTATCCAACCACTATAAGAATAGTATTTTATACTAAAAATACCACAAGACATTTCATGAAAACATAGAAAAAATATAAGCAACGGGAAAAACAAATAAGAAAAAAGGTAAAAAGAAAAAAGAAAAAACTCATGTAACAGTAGAAATAAAATATACTTGAACATCTAAAAATATATCATAGAATATCATAGGTATACTACATGAACATTATATGTATACAACGTGAACATTACATGTGCACATCCAGAAGAACCATATCAAACCAGAAAAATATATCACACACCATCCAGAAATATATCGTGAAACGTTAGACTTATACTATGTGCACATCCAGAAATATATCGTAGAACATTGCATGTATGCCATGTAAACATAAAAAACAACATAGAACATCGCATGTATACCATATGAACATTAAAAGAAAAAAATCTAGAACATCATATATATACTATATGAATATCATAAAATATAATATAGTACATCATATGTATATTATGTGAACATCACAAAATACATCATAGAACATCATATGTATATTACGTGAACATCACATGTATATTATGTGAACATCATAAAATACATCATAAAACATCACATGTGTACTACGTGAACATCACAAATATAGAGCATAAAACATCACATGTATACTGTATGAAAACCACAAAACACATTATAGAACATCACATGTAGACTACGTGAACATCACATGTATATTACATGAACATCACAAAATAAATCAAAGAACATTACATGTATACTTTGTGAACATCTCAACATACAACATAGAACATCACATGTATACTATGCAAACATCACAAAATACATCATAGAACATCATTGTATACTACATGAACATCAAAAATATATCATAGAACATTATTGTATACTTCGTGAACATCATAGCATCTTATATAGTATTGAGATTTAAAAAGTAATATGAACAATAAAATAATTAATTAGAGTAAAAGAGAAAATAAAAACCTATAAAGAACATAAAGACAAAAGGAAAAAAGGAAAAAAGAAACAAAACAAAAAAGAGTAAAAACATAAAAACAAAAAATAAAATAAAAACAAATTAACCAATTATAGCAAAAAAAGAAAGGTAAAAAATAATAACAATTCACATAAAACAAAAATAAAAAGATAAATTAATGCACGGAAAATACAAAGGATAGGAAAAAAAGAAAGAAAAATAACAAGAAAAATAAAAAAAGATAAAAAAGATAGAAAAAAGAAAGAAAGGTTAAAAATGAAAAACTGGAATCAAAATAAAAAAACATAATTAGAAAATAAACAAAAATAGAAAAATAGAAAAAATAAAAAAGTGAAAGTAAAACCACAGGAACAAAAAAGATAAAAGAAAGAAAGGAAACACGTACTGCCTACCTGCTGGCACCAGAGAATCCTGCATCCAGGCGTGCAGTCACTTTGCGTCCAGCAGAATCATTCAATCTGGTCCGCATGCTAATGGGCCGTCGCGTTCGAGAGAGCGGCGGAAGTGCGGACGAAGCGGGATCGGCGCAGGAATCCTCTGCGCGGGAAACTATCGGCGCACGGTTCCGGTCGATTTCCGCCGGCCTGCCCGGACGCTGCCAGGCTGACGGAGTGACGGATTATCTCAGCCCCGCGCGCCGTGCCGGCCGGACATCGCGCACGAGCAGGCCTCCGCCCTTGTCTCCGATCGGGTGGAACAGCGAGTCGGTGACCTCGTCTGCCAGCTGTCGCGGACTGCAGCTGCGCGTCCGTGCACAACTCGCACAGGGCGCGAAGGACCGTTTTTGGAAGTTATATCCCGTTAGGTTGGCTGAAAAAAAAGCGAAACGCTTGTTTGTTGTGAGAGAAAATATTATTTCGGTTGAAAAAGCAAGTTGAAAAGTACGGATTATAAGACAAACGAACAGGTCCAAAACGGCAAATCAAGTTCACTGGCTTTGCCGTAAATTTATGGGGTAAGATCTACTAAACTTTTCCAGTTACTCGCCTGGCCCTTTTTTCTTTTGGTGCGTGTGCTCATCTGGCCCCATCCTCTGATTCTTTCTAAATGCATCTCAGCCTCAGATTCATGTGCCACTGTTTTACTCCCACTCCCACATGGCCACATGTGCTTTTATGCCTCCATGTGTAGGTTCTCCACTGTGCGTCAGTGCGTGAGCTTAATACTCAGTACTGCTTTGGCTAGCTTAAACGCCTTTTTTTTGTACACAAAAAATGCTAACCTAAGCAACGCAATGATCTCTTGATTTGTGCAAGAAAAGGGTAGGGATGATTTCAACACAACGCTGTTCCGCTTTTCAACCTCTGACTAGGTTTAAACGTTGGAGGTTGAAAACTAGACTTTATTACCTTAAAAAAAAACTGCACGCACCAACGTAGAATTTCACGTTGCAAGATCTCAATTAACTCCTATACAATTGTACAAAATTTGTTCCTTTATTTGCTGTAATTGCTCACCTATATTATATGATGTGATATGGCTATAACGTTCTGTACATGAAGAATGCAGGGTACTGACTTAACTGGTGAGTCGACAAAAGTTATCCCGATTCTGTTAAGCCGCTGTAAGTAGACTATGCTCTGTCTTCTAGGCAGCGTGAGCGACCCGTATCCATCATCTTGTTAAACCTTCAGCCCTCCCCCGGGGTACACATCAGGGACATTTTCTTTGTCCATGCTCTTAGCCCTTGAGTTGCTCCGAACTGATTTTTCTGAAAGAGATGGTATAACCGTCGCAAAGCTTCTCTCCTTGATTCTTCTGCAGCAGTGTGGCACTAATGGATTTGTCTTAAAAGATATATTAGTGTTACTTTGCAGCGAAAAGTAGTGCTAACATGATAGCGCACCTGAGATGGATCATGAAGAACACTGCGCCGACAAGGGTAATTGCTCCAGCAACGGACTTCAGAACCCCTTTCCCTGATTTGGGGACATCATCTTCAGGCCTTTGAGTGATGCTACCCTGAACTATATCTTCTGATTCCACTGGTTTATCAGTGGATTGGGAACCATCCTGCATGACAGAGGAATGTTAGGAACACTTTTGTGTACAGGAAGCATAATTATAAGAGTGACACGCTGGACTTGAGCATTTCAGGAGTCACCATTTCATTCCTAGTGCTGACTTCAGGATTCAGCTCCCGGTACGTGCTATTGATAGAGTTTACTGGACCTCTACCTGCAGATCTAGTGGATAAAACTTGACTTAGACAGGATAACTTGTTGATGTACCTCACTAAACCGTGTCGCGGCCGAGGCACTGATGACGTAGTAGCCACATCGGGTCAGAGTAGAGGTAGCCGTGATGCGTCCGCTGGGTCGTCATAGGTAGCAGCAGTGCAGGCGCGGTGCGACGGTGAAGGCGATGGAGCTTCCCATCGCTCACAACGCCCCTCTCGATCGGTCTAGGGATAGGACATCGGTGAGGGGCTGGCGGCTGCGGTAAACCTCGTGTCTCGAGCCCCAACTCATATTTATTGCGCTACGCGACAGGCCCATCAGCCAGTAGATAAGCTGAGTGCCCCCGATCAGGGCGCGATCAAGGGCCCGGGCCAATTGATGGATCAACCTAACATTCCCCCCTTATCTCATCTTATGACTTAAGCTTAACTTTATTTTTTTTCCCATTTCATCACAGATCAGTGCATAGAGCGTGCCTCATCGTCACGATCGATTGCCATTAGATTTAATAGCTATAATGCACCTCTCTGTTTTGAAACAGATAATCAACTAGGCCCTTAGTATCCAGAAATTATAGGTTTTTCCGTAAATCCATGTCGACTGTGTGTTCTCTGAACGCACCGGGTGATAAGCCTTTGGTAAGCGGATCTGCAAGTACTTGCTTGGTACTCATATGCTCAATGCTTTCAACATGATTCTGTATTTTCTACTTTACAACATATAACTCAATGTCAATGTGTTTGGCAGCATACTTGACCTGTTGTTTTAGGAGTTAACTATTTTAAATGGTTATTGCTGTTGACTATCTTTGTTAAATCTGGATATTCATTCCCTTAACATTCTTTTGCCTGTTCCTTAAGTCTCATGTTAAACCATACTATGATATGCATCACTGATGACACCACAACTGTTTCTTTGAAACTTTTCCACAATAATACTCCAACTGCGAGTGTTAGCAACTACTGTGGATTTCACTACACACTCGCTAAGACTTAACATTTGTACCCTCAACTATTTGAGAGTACTTATTCTTTCTTACTCAACATGAGGCTTATGATACTTTGCAAAATTGCAAGACATTCTCAGCTCAATTCCAATGATCTATATCTGGACTGAACTTCTACCAAAATATCCTGGATACTTAAACTACGTCAGGATAAGTTCTTACTTGTACTTGTACACTCATCAAGCTTCCAACAGCTGAAGCATATGGAACTATGTTCATTTGATCGATCTCATATCGATTTTTGGAACACTTAAAGTTTCCAAATCTATTACCCTTGACTATAGGAGCAGGCGTAGATTTACTTGCATGCATACTTTATTTCTTTAAAATATTTTCTAAGTATGCCTTTGCGATAGCCCTAATACCCCTTTTCTTCTATCTCGGTGAATTTCAATTCCAAGAACCAAAGACGCTTCACCAAGATCATTCATATTGAAACTTGAGGGCAAGAACTTCTCTAATAACATATTAACATCACTACTAGTGACTAGGATGTCATCTATACACAGGATGCGGAAAAAGAATTTTCCATTCTTAAACTTCGCATAAACGCTATTGCCCTTCTCATTTTCTTTAAACCCAAACTTTCTTATCGTTTCATCAACTTCAAATACTACTGCCTAGAGACTTGTTTTAACCCATAAATGAATTTCTACAGGCGGCATCCCAAATGTTCTTTTCTTCTACGATAAAACCTTTTGGGTTGTGCCATGTAAACGTTTTCATACAAATTCTCGTTGAGGAATATCGTCTTTACATCCATCTAATGTAACTCTAAATCATAATGTGCCATGAACACCATTATGATTCTAACAGAATTCTTGCATGAGACTGGAGAGAAAACTCTCATTATAATCTATTCATTCTCTTTGCGTAAAGCCTTTTCCTATAAGTTGTGCTTTATATCTTTTTACATTTTCTTTGAGTCACATTTTGTGTTGTAGACCCTTTTATAGCCTACTGTTTTGGCTCCATTAGGAATTTCTTCTAAGTCTCAAACAACGTTGGTATTCATCGAATTTATTTTAACTTACATAGCTTCTTGTCATTTAGACGAGTAAACGCTTCTCATGGCTTTTTCAAATGAGATGAGATCACCCTCCATTTGAATTTCTTCACTAATATAGACTTCATAGTCATTAAAAAAACTAGTTTACTAATTCTTTAAGACCTTGTGGGGCCTCAGCTACTGGCACTTTCATATGGGGCTGTTGTTGCTCTTCATTGTCAATAAACAATTGATTCTACATGCTCCTGTATTACAAGATCCTTGTTTGTATTATTCATCTTCTTCAAAGAACCAACAACAGATGTTGTATAAGTTATACAACATCAATAGGTTTTGAGAAATTCGTTGTTTTTTGAATCACTGAAGTGAGCACACAGCCCCGCTTCTCTTTAAGTCATATATCTCTACATACCATGCTCTCCAGATCATCCCATCTTCTAAAAAAGATAGTGTACCTTCAAATTTCTTATTTGGGTTTAATCTGTTAAAACCTCATATGGCGCTTTAAGCACCGTCTTTATATCTTTGAGGCTGACTATGCTATCTTTCTATCGGAACTTTAAAAGGTCCAGAAATTTAGCTATTTCTCTGCTTAGGGGTATCGTTATTATGACCGTTGTACTCCTCCGACGGTCACATTCATCTTAATTAATTTTTATCTCTCTTAACGAAGAGTATCTTTCTTAATTGATCTTACTATTCCCCCCTCGAAATATGGCATAAACTTTACTGCCATAATTTCGAGAACTATTCAGGAAAACAGTGACCGAGGAGATACTTATTACTTACTTCATTCACATGATTACCTCATGCAAACAAAGTTATTTCTTAATTCATATAGGAGTACACTTTTTTCATTCCACTTCAAAAACTCATCTAGATCTTTTATTATCTGTACTTTTGCAAGTCACGCTTGCATTTTTTTTGTCTTTTAATTAGTATTGACCATGGCGGTGCATTTCTATTGTGCCATGGTTAATACTAGGATAGTATAAGAGCTACCTAAACTTCTCTCGCTATGTGGGATAAAAAACATGAGTCATCACAAAACTTCTCCCGCCATGTAGGATTGACTAGCATAAGTACTATGTCAAACTTTTTCCCATGCGGGATAAATCTATATTCAAATTACCTTAACAAAAAATTTAGTCACGATGATTAAAATATTCACTTATACTTTATTTTTCAATTAAATTTTGTCATTGGTTTCAATTTAATCAGAAAATAAGTAACTTAACAAAAAAAAACTATCCTGAACTGGCTTGACTCAAGCCTTTTCATTTATATACCCTAGCATTGCAGCCCATTGGCATGCAGCCGAGTGATCTTGGTTAAAAAATAAAACCTACAAGATGCTTATGCATCAATTATACATCACCGTTGGGCAGAAAATAGAATTAATGTATAAAACTTATAAATTAACTTGAAATACATATAACTAATCTTCAAAATAAGGTAATCAACATCATTACAGTGAAAACTTGATAATAAAATATATTCTTTTAGACCAGGAGCATTTTTTGTCCTTATCTACTCTCTAAAAATTGACCACATTGGTGTAAAATTTATCAAAGATTTAAACTTCAAACTTAAATTTATTATAATATTGTTATCAGCAACGTTGGTCAGAAAATAACAATAACATAATCTAACATAAACAAATCAAACTACTCATCTAATTTAAATTTTCCTGTTGGTTCCAATTTAATTAGAGGATAAACATAATTATAATTTACTAAATGTAATTGCTTTTCGAATTAAATTCTTTTGTTGGTTCGAATTTAATTGAAAGATAATCAACATTAAACTTTGCAGCAGAAACATAAGAAAATTCTTTATTTACTTTTCAGAAGTATTTTATTGTACCCATCTACTCTCTGAAAAATTATCCCGTTGGTTCAAATTTTGACAGAGATTTAAACTAGACAAAAATCATTAGAAAAAATGATTCTAAAAAAGAATAAACAAATTCACAATCATTACTGTGCATTCGGCCCGGCCTTGGGAAACAGTCCGTGACCCATTTGATCTGCGCGTCCACGAGCGCGGCCCAGCGGCCCGCTTAACACGATGCGCGCGCGCCCGCTCTCCCGCGCCCAGGCCGCAACTTGGGCCAGGGCCAGGAATTTCCATCCTCGCCTGGGCTGAATCCTGGTCCAGCGAACGCCGACCGTCGGATCAGATCGGACGGCTGTCCGCGCGTTTCGCTCGAACAAAACGCGCCGCGGCCGCTCTCCTAGAAACCCTAACTTCATTTCTTCCCTTTCCTTCTCTCTCTCACCGCCGCAGACGAAAAATGAGTCCGGAGAAGGGTAGCGGCGCCGCCGCCGATCCCATCGCCGGCGCGTGCACTCGCCCTAGGCTGAGTGCGCCGCCGTCGAGCGGACTGGGCGACGGTGCCCTAGTCTCCACATGCGCTGCAGTGGGGCTCGCCCTAAAACCCTAGCTGTTTCCATTCTCCCCTTTCTCCTTTCTCAGCCCTCAGCGCAACAGACGCCGGAGAAGAGAAGACCGGCGCCGCCGCATGCTCCTTCGCCGGCGCGCGTACGCCCGAGGGTGAACGCGCTGCCGTCGAGCGGGCTTGTAGTGGCGCCCTCGGCCGGGGCTCGTGCGCACGGCGACGAGCGCGGCTCGACCGTCTCCCCGCGTGCCGGCGAGGCGGCGGCGGGTGCTTCTTCCCGCGCGCGGTGGTGTCAACGGTGGTGAAGAAAACCAGGTAGGTTCCTCCCCCTCTCCGTCCATTCGCTTTCTAGGGTTAGGGTTAGGGTTAGGCGGTTTCTCCTCGCGCCCGCGGCGGCTTGGGGTGACTTCCTGCGCGGCATCGAGGCAACGGCCGACAGTGGTGACGGTGTGGGCGGTTCCCTGGTAGAAAACCCCCTTCCTTTCCTTTCTCGTTCTGGTCTACCCAAACTAGATCTACACATTAGAACCTCGCTCTGATATCATTGATAGAACTGACAGAACCTCTAGGTGCAGATCTAGTGGGTAAAACTTGACTTAGATGGAATGACTTGCTGATGTACCTCACTAAACCATGTCGCGGTCGAGGCGTTGGTGACGTAGTAGCCACAGCGGGTCGGAGTAGAGGTAGCCATGACGTGCCCATTGGGTCGTCGTAGGTAGCAGCAGTGCAGGCGCGGTGTTGTGGCGGCGGTGAAGGCGATGGAGCTTGCCGTCGCTCACAGTGCCCCTCTCGATCGGTCTAGGGATAGGACATCGGTGAGAGGCTGGCGGCTGCGGTAAACCTCGTGTCTCGAGACCCAGCCCCACGTCCTATTTATTGCGCTGCGCGGAAAGGCTGAGCGCCTCCGATCAGGACGCGGATCAAGGGTCCCAATTGGTGGAGATCAACCTAACAGCTATCACTTGTCACCCCAGTCATATTTGGCTCTATATTATTCACTGGATGTTCGGAAACCATCGGCAATTTGCCGCCTGTATTATGTGTTGGGGTCAGTCCTGAGTATGATTCTGAGCTCAAGTCTGATGGCTCGCCATTTAATTCATATCTCGGTTCTTCACAACTTGAACACACAGACTCCCTATCACAAGCAAGGGCATCACAATGTTGAACTATGGTGCCAGTCTCCTTTTGGAGGTCAGCTTCCTCTTTGTTTGGATGATCAGCTAATGTTTCCCCATTTCCCCGAATACAATGATCAAGAGACTTGGCATGTCCATCGTAAATCCTTTCCAAATCTGTGTCAGAATGATTGTTCAACTTCAAATAATTCTTGCCACTGTCAAACGCCAAATGACTGCTTGTGGAATCTGACTCTTCTGAACTTGATGAACATTTAGCCATTCTAGTTCTTGAACATTGGTCAGTTGCAGAATGAGTAGAACATGATTCTTTATTATGAATTAGAGGACTTGAATCCATGAACTCAGAATCAATAATGCCAATGTTAAGTGAACCCACTGATTCAGCTAGAGATTTTTCTTCATGCTTGTCATGTCCACTTTCTCCATAGCCTTCACTTTCTTCGTTGGGGGCATCGCTAAATTGTGAAAGCACGGCTGCAAAATTTTCTTCATCAACTGAGTCCTCAGGTTCTAGAAGAGAGAGTTTGCTTTCTGCTTCATCAGAGTCATAATGTGTGTCCTCGTGCTGGTCGTTCTGCCCTCCAAATATTATCTGAGAAAAATATAGATTAAGTGAATAACATTAAGCACAAGTGTGGAAATACAATTAACCCTTTCCAAGACCCTGCCTGCTGCTGTAGTGCTTTAGAACCGGCACGTGGACTGTATCCACTTGAACTGGATGAGCTGTATTGTGGCTGCTCCAGACTTCTACGAATACCTCCAACAACATAGTTTGGCATGGATATTGTGTAGGTGACTATATCAAAATCAGGCACCTACGATCACAGAGAAGAAACACATAAATTAAAGTTATTACAGTAGGTAAGTCACTGGAAAATGCATTTCTTAGATATGCTTAGTAAGAACCTAGGACTTACATTTAGGTGCATGATGTGAGACTTTTTAGACACTGATTGTATGCACATACAGACTTTCCGAACATTTCTTTTTTCAACCACATCAGAAGGGGTAAACAGATCAATTCCAGCTAACCCAAGGATTTGACATATCTGAAAAGAACAGAGATTACTAATTATCAAGCAACTGTTTCAGAAGAAATGTAAACTAAGCCAGTAAAGTATATATGTGACCGCATCATGCTTGAAGCCTTTTAGTATCAACCAAAGCTGTCGATGTAGCGTAGGAAGAAAACACAAATGCACCCACACATCTATGCCTGCCATGCTTCTAGGTCTAGGTCGTGGGCAGAAGAGGGGCCATTATCTTGCTGTAGTTAAAATTCCACCAGGTCCAAACTTAGCACCATTGGAATTTTTTGTTGGGTGTTTTCTTCACCTAAAAGTTGGCCCTATGCAGGATTAGGATACTAAGCAGATCCAGCAGACCAGCACCTATTCTTATCACAGAAACAATTCAATCCGATTTACATAAGTTACCACCTTCCAGTCATAAAAGCGTGTCATTTAGGACAATATTTATCAAAGCTTAAAAACCGCATTTATTTTGAAAACCTGTAGGTTATATGTGTAAAAACTGTATTGAAGAATACTTACAAAATCTCACAAATTTGAGAGACTATAAGAATATATTTTAGAAGGAATTAGTGGCCAAAGATATGCATCAAAGATCGTGCAAAGTCAAATGAGACAAGTGTTTTACCAGAGGGAGTACAACTTTTTACTGGGAATTTGTACAAATTACAGCTGATCTAAAATAGGCAGACAACCTTGGAAACAAATAAAATCATTGAAGTTCACAGCAAAAAAGCAAAGATACACAGATTTGTTTCATTTTTTGGAGCGAAATGTACAGCAGGGTAGTTCCCCACTGATAGACAGATTTGTAGCTCTACCTAATGCTTATTCAATTCCATTGCAGCAATGTTAGTCAGTAGAGCGTACATAACTCACAAGAAAGTAGCACAAAACACCATCTATAGACTATAGCAGATTCAATACTGGTTTTTAGAACTCTTCATGCACAAATATTGGCAGAACATTTCATGCGTCACAGACAATTTACACTGATCAAACTCATCAGACTGGCTACTTAAAATGGAACCCATACTAGAAAAATGCTTCACATGTGTTCGAGAAAAAAAAAAGCTTCATTCAAGCTCCTCTGATGGAAAAAAATGTTCTGAAGGATTTATATACAGTTCACTTCAAATTAATGCACTTCAAGTTAACAAAAATCTTCAACACATGAAGTTAAAATCAAGACTTTCGCTCAAAAGGTATTAATAGAACTAAAGCGTCTAGAGGGAAAATGTGCAATGATCCATACCTTTAGAAAGGAGTCAACTTTTGAATAGGGCATGTATTTTCCACTGCTCCTACCGAAGGATAGTCTCTCAAATATATAAACTTTTGATTGTTGCAATTGTTCTCTGTTCTTTTTCAGTAACCTTTTCCATATTATCTTGGAAACTTGAAACCTAACAGCACAAATATAACAGGTGAGAAGAATATAATAAATATCAGAGAGAGAGAAGTACACAATTAATCATAAAACAGTTCCATTCTTTCAGAAACCATTTATCCTAGGCAAGTAGACACTTGCAAAGAGACAAAACTATCTGAGCAAAAATATACAGATCAGTGGGATCCAAGATTTCTGTAGCTACACCATATCTATATGCATGGCACATGCGTGCTAATTACTTTTGTTCATGCAGGGAGACCTCATGAAGAAACTGATCTTACAGTAATTCTCCGTCAGCAAGAAGATCAGCAACTAAAGTGTCTTCATCAAACCTAACATGTAGAACTTCTCCATGCCAGATTTTTGTTTGTGTCTGAAACAAAAGTGAAAATAAATAGAGATGTAAAACTAAGTAAATGATTAAATAAACTAAGATAGCATGTGTAATCTCTGGTTTACAGAAGCAGAATAAATTTTGAAACAATAACTAACAAAATGTTTGTTTTGCATGAGGACAGTGCCAACAAAAAGGAGAAAGCAAACACTACACTTACTAATTGTATATCCAGTGCATTTTATTTATAAACTGTAGCAATTGAATTGGCTATACCTCACCAGATTGTATTGTGTTTTTAACAAAAATTCGCAGATTTAATGGAATGTATATAGCTATATATATCATCTTTACTCATATGAGTTTAGTGCACGAATGCAAATACAATTTTTCAGAAACTAGGACATGTTGGAGAATGAAATTACACTGCCCAATGTCTCCTGTAGTATTGAAGTAGCTATACATGGCAAGGACCATTTGCCATGCCCTTATCTTAACTTTGTCAGGAAGAGATTGGATCAAACCGATGTGATGTTTTACTGACTCTGTTGACATAGAGAAATGGTCCGGCAAGCATTGCCATTTTTTGACATTAGCCACGACTTAACATGGCAAAAAAAAAAGAGTCTGAAAGAAATTCTACTACCCTGATTGATCTGAAAAGCATCAGTTTTAACAGCATTATATATCTAAGATACATGGCCCCAAACTCCCCTGCATGTCTAATTTTACCACAATATCTAGCCTGTCCGTTTGGCTGTGGCTTATCGTAAATGATCGTAAATTTCCAGCAGGAACAGTATTTTTCTCTCACACAAACCAACCACCAGTACTTCTTCACGAACTAGCGACGAAACGAATCAGCCAACCAAACATTCTAACGAATCAGCGACGAAACGAACCAGCCAACCAAACATTCTAACGAACCAGCCACGAAACGAACCAGCCAACCGAACATTCTAACGAAGCCCAAATGCCACAAACCAGCCAAAAAGAACCTCATATGCAACCGTAAAATCGAATTCATCAACAAGGGATTCTGTATAATATCTGGCGTACGAACCCTTTGAATCAAGAGCGCCCCCACGAACGGAATCACTGGGTAATCTGGCACCAGTACAGGAGGCGTCCGTCAGCAAGCACGGCGGAAGCCACTCCACTAATTAAACCGCAGGGGGGGCGGAGGTCCAAGCAAGCACACTCACTGTTCCATTAGCTCCTTGTTCCCCCAAGAGCCCCAACTAGACAGAAAAGCTTCGGGACCTCACCTGCAGGAAGGCCTCGTCGGGCTCACGGAAGGTGGATGGACGCGACGACGCCTCATCCACCCGCACCGGCCAGATTTTTTTAAACATTTTTTATAAACTAATTTTAAATCTAATATTGTTTTTTTCTTTCAAAACTAACATTTTGACCGCGCTAATTGCCATGGTGCGGCGAAACGCATGTGCCGCGCCATGTATGGTGGCGCGGCAGGAGGCTGACGTGGCGAAGACCGGCGCTGCTAACAGGTGACGTGGCAGGGTCTGCCGCGCCACCGATCTTGGCGCGGCACTGACGCGCCACAATGCATGGCGCGGCAGGACCAGATAAATATCGCGAGCGAGCTCGCCCGCCCGCCGCCAGTGCCCGCACGCGCCCACACACAGCGCCCGCGCCACGAACGGCGGCGCGTCACGGCCGACCGCTCAAGGTACCTCCCTCTCGATTTTATGTTATTATTCTTGTTATTGATTTAGGATAGTCAGTGATTTAGGATAGTTAGGGTTTTACGATTGTTATTGATTTATGATAGTTAGGGTTAGTGATTTAGGATAGTTACGTTAGTGAATTTGTTTGTGATTTAGGTAGGTAGTTTTAGGTTTAAGGTTGTGTGTTGTAGTATAGTTAAGGCTTGGTTAGGTAGTTAGGGTTTAGGTTACTGTTAGTTAGTGATTTAAGATAGTTAGGTTAGTGAATTTGTTTGTGATTTAGGTAGGTAGTTTTTAGGTTTGAGGTTGTGTGTTGTGGTATAGTTAAGGTTTGGTTAGGTAGTTAGGGTTTAGGTTACTGTTAGTTAAGATTTTGGGTTTATGGATTGATTAGGTATTTATTATTTAGTTTATAGTTAGTTATTTAGTTAGGGATTTTGGGTATAGATATTAGTTTTCAAGTGTCGGTACTTATTAGTGTGTGATACGTCGATTTGGATGACTTGATAAAGTTTCGTCAAATGTTTATTTTTCTAGTGAAGTTGTTTAATATGTCTGTTAATGTTACTTTGAATATATACATGTGCTTTAATATTGTGTTCGTATTGCATAAAAAGTAGTTCAAATTTTATAATGCTATATAATGTTAATTTAAATTTTGTTAATTTGAATACTCTAATCATTTGTTTATCAATTTGTAACAGAATGGTCCCTCCCACGCAGCACCCGTTGTATCCTATTCTTGAGGTGGAGTACGACGACCAGCACCGAGCACACATCTTGAGTGACACCGACGCAGAGGTGGCCTTGCCTACTTTGAGGCCCCGCACGCACACCAAGGCGCACCAGTGGGACGAGCGTTACGCGCCGTATATACGGCGTGCCGGCTTTCTCGAGCTTGTCCGTGTTGTCAACTACGGTCTTCCGCCCCTTGACCCAGCACTACTACTACTACAGAGTTGTAGACAGGTGCGAGTGCCTTCTTTGTACGTAGACATTCTTATAACAAATTTGAGTCAACTAACAGTCGTTCTATTCTTATAATAGGTGGAGGCATGACACCCACACGTTCCACCTACCTTGCGGCGAGATAACCTTAACCATGCAGGACGTGAAGGCTATCTTTGGCCTTCGGTTGGGAGGACTTTCAGTGACGGGTATAGTTGACAACGATCACTGGAGGGAGCTGGTGGCTCAGTTCACTAGCTTTCTTCCACCGGACGACGAGGTTTTAAAGAAAAATAAGTGAGCAATTCAAGCCTATTTAATACTTGCATTGCTTTCCTGCAGCTCATCGGGTCTTATTTTCTTTGGTGAATTTTAGGAAAAGTTCTAGTGTTTCGTCGTCCTGGATCACAGAGCGCTTTGATTATTTGGACCCACAGGCTGAGGAGGCTCAGATCGATAGGTTCGCTAGAGTGTGGCTCTGTCACTTTCTTGGTGCTTTCCTCTTCCCAGACGCCTCGGGCAACACCATCAGCTGGATCTTCCGACATACTACGCCAGCCATGGGAGAACATAGCGGCGTATAGCTGGGGCAGCGCAGTCTTGACATGGACGTATCGACAGCTATGCGTTGCCTGCCGTCACACCTCAGGGTATGCGAACCTTGGGGGTTGCTCCTACCTACTCCAGGTTTGGTGTTGGAAACGATGGCCCGTTGGGAGGCCTTTAATACTGGTTTACCGATAAGTACTTCGGTTCACTATATTCTTCGAGGCAGTTACATATGATGAGATTATTAACGACTAATTCATTATTGTGTTCAATGCAGCAATGGACGAGGCGCAAGTATAGGGAGTACACGGACGGTCTCGACGTCCTGACACAGCACCAGGTTACGCTCTCTTTACTATCATAGATGTGTCTTGTTCAATGTACACTATATCACAACCTAACTCAATTACGAAATGTTCAGGTGCATTAGTGTCCTTGGGATGCTCCGGAGCTCCAGTACCATCTCAGTCCTGTCACTTAGGACGAGTCAGACGAGTATCGCTGCAACGTCCCTCTTATTTTCTTCCACGTGGTTGAGATTCACTTGCCCATCAGGCTCTACAGATAATTTAGAAGAATGATAGGCTGCCCACCACCGCTTTACTCCACCAACCAAGAATTGTACGGGTACGTTATCGATTAATAACAAAGCTACAATTCAGAGGTGTGTGTGGTATAACTAACATCGTTTTGTTGCAGGTATGACCGCGGGAAAAGGTACAAGACCAAGGATTGGCGCGTGACACACAACACGCACATCCACTTGTGGGGGAACAGGGAACGATAGCTGGTCCATGCGGGTCCTTCATACGACCAGCACACCTTCGACGAGTACCTGCGGTGGCTTCACAGGTCTACAAGGACACATATGAAACCCCCGTACACTGAGGAGGCGATTGACGAGGACTTAGAGGAAGATGTAATCGAAGATGTGTACGATGTTGCCACTAGAGAGGACACACAGCTACAGAGAGCCCCGCTTCAAAAATACGTGGTAAGATACTTGAATGATACAATTTGTTATCCATTTGGTATTAAGTATGTGTACTAAAACTGTCCAACCGCGTTTCTGTACCCAGGCGACACAATTGTCGAGGATGTCCAACGAAGCAGCGTTCCCGCTTCACGAGTTTAGAGGGCAGGGGCCAGGCGTTCTTGAGGCTTTTGTGGAGGTAAACATAAACTTGTCCGTTCCAAATATATTTCTTTAGTGTATATGTGTTTGAGAAATACACCAACTTTAACGTCTATTTATGCAGAAGGTGAAGAATAGCTGCAGGAAGCTAGCTTAGAAGCTGAGTTGCATGGACACTCCTTATGTGGAACCGTCACTCCCGGCGCGGTCAGGTGGCACGTCTTCAGCCTCTTTGAGGACACCAGCCGGCTCTTCTTCAGTCGGTGATAGGTGCCACTTTCGTAGTGCGTACACCACCACATCATAGCGCTGGGAAGGACCCTACAACCGAGGACGACCCCCTGGGCTTCCGCAGACAGCACGACCAGTGGGACAATTGGTCGCAGGACGAGATCGGTATGTCTCAGCTAGATGATGCCCCGCTTGGTACCCAAGGAGCCTCACAGGTACTAACAAAGGTAGTTTTTTTAAATACGTAGGCTCCATGAACTAACGATCATAAAGATTATAAGTAATCGTGCATATCATATACTTGCAGGGTACGAGCCGTACGCACCGACGACGTGACTACACCGATGTTGGCTACACTTACAATGTGTTGCCAACAAATTCGAAGAGACAGAGGTGTCCGGGGATCCTTACACTCTTGGGTCTTAGTTTGTTAGATTGAACGAATATTGACGTCCGAAACTTGCAGGCTTAGTTGGTTATGTTATGTTGAACTTATGTCAAACCAATGAAAATATTATGTGGCAGCTTGTCAACTTACGCACAGACTTTATTTATTTGCTTCATATTCGTTTTAATGCGTCGCGGCAGCACTGCCGGTGAGATTAAGTAGCAACTAGTTTAGGAACCGGCAGTCCCGGCGTATCTCGACGCCGGTGGCCGGCGTCTTGCTCGAGGGGTCGAGGAAGCCAGGGTCCATGGTCGCGTCGCTGTCGATCCTATAATATGGGGGCAAAAAAACCAAAAAAATAAGTGATTCGTTTTTAGCCCTTATAAAAAGAAAACGGATTCTTGAACCTCTTTCACGCTCATGTCACGCCGAGGTACTATAGAAAAAAGAACCGCAAAATCCGATCCAATTTTTCGTAATCGATTAGTTAACATGGTGGTTAACCGTATTCTGAAAGACGGAAAAAATCACTGGCTTATCAA